GGCCCTTGTTTTGCCAATCCTCATTTTTCATCTGCATCATATTCTTTTTGCTCATCGAGGATGCTAGCCAGATAAATGAAATTTTCCACATCTTCCAGACCTTCCTTGTCAATTTTGATTTTGTTAGTTTTCTCCGTGTTATATTTGAGGTTCTTGCTTTTTTCTTTGGATATGTTGAGGCCTTCTGATCGAGAGGCTACTGTTACTCTATTTGTCTTCATCTGCATTTGTTTTTGGGTATGGGATTGAAGAAACCGATTATCTGTGAAGTGCAAATCTTCTAGTTGATTTTGAGCAATCTATTATATTCCATGTTTTTTCGTCAGATGTCGAGGTGAAACTTCACTGACTGTATGACTTCATCTAATCGTTATTATTATTATTAGCAGATAGTATGAATTCAACAAGGAATATCACCAAATCATAAACGAATCAAAGTTGTTTGCTTAAGATCCAGTTGTACTAAATTATTATTCATGTTGTATATATATATTAACAGCTCATTGAAAATATTTCTTCCCCTATAGCACAATCAATCAAACATGGTAAGTTGAAATGCTACTACATATCAATAGGAGGATTTAAGGAGATTGTAGTATTTTCATGGTTGATTAGTTGAAGCTAGACTATCATTGAAAACCTGGAATCATCGGACGGCATTTTTTTTCTTAATATGGGACACCTCAGATACGCGCTTCCATGGATTCCACACGTGCGACTCGAACCCAGGACCTTCAGTCTCATACGCGAACACTTAACATCCAGACCACTGCGTCGGAATTCAATGGTATTCAAGTCTTACTTCAACCAATCCATGATCTTGCCCAACTCTTCATCCAATATGTAAGGTGAATAACGGTCTCATACCTGATAGACATTGAACTCCACTGGACATCACTTCTCAATAGAACTCCGGGATTAACATCTTGAAGCTAATCCTTAGTAAGGATATGATTGTTATCGGTATTTTCACAGTTTAAATCACGAGTATTAATTGAAGTTAAACATTAACACCATCCATTGCTATCTTAGACCGATTCATTAGTTCAACTATGAAGTTACTACTTATATTCGACTATCTTACTAATGATAATCTTTTCTATCATTTATTTTAGGAGTACTATCAGAAACTACCTCAGTATATCACTATAATACTTAACTAGATTTAAGACAATATAAACTAAATCTTACTATAAACCATGGAATCTCTTACATTCATTCCTCTTTAAATCTATTAAATTTTGTTCTGTGTTATTCTCAATGTTTGTTATTCAAATGTGTTGTTGATAATAGAAGAAGGTAACCCTATGTGATTTACCTTTATTCATGAGTATAATGGATAAATAAACTATGGTCTGAATTCGAACAAATAACATAACAATAGTTGACATAAACATTGGAAAGGAATGTTTATATTATTAAAAAATGAGTTTCATTTCACAGAACGTCTTTACATTCAATTTGATGTTCACTTCAAGATGAGAACCTGACGTCTTACAAATCGACTATTGAACTGTAAAAATGAGATAATCATATAAACATCTTACTTTGAACATAACTGGTTCCAATAATAGAATAAATAGACATCTCGAATGTATAGTATGTATATAGTAGGGTCAGAGAAATGTCATTAAACTCTAGCCAAATCACCCGACATTTGGGTCACTGAATATCAGACAGATGATCGATTCTCGTCAAGGTCAAGGACAACCAACGTGTATCAATCAATCGTATGTCATGGACTGATATATGCGGTGAAGGTCTCGCTATCTTCTCTATACTCATTCTTACTAATATATTTCCATAATAACATTCTTCATGTTATACGGTCTTCAATGCAGCTATATTATTTTAATACGTCGAAGGCGTAATCCACGTTAGATTCTGACTGCGAGGTGTGTGATTTCGAATTCATTTGGTTCGTCATACCATTTCCACCTAACTCGAGTAGACCTACAATCATTCGACATAGATCATCTACGTTGGTGATCTACAATATGATTCACTTGATGTAAACCGTGAATATGTATACAGATCTGATATGAAAGAAATCACGCATCATATGTGACTATGGACAAGATCTCATAGCTACTTAATGTGATTGTGGAAAAGAAGAAAACTAGTCGGTCACTTCACAACATTCATTAGAATATATATATACACCATTATTTCAGGGTCTGTTTCAAGAAGATTTGTCATTTAAATCAAATCAAATTTAATCGATAGTGGTCATTTAGTAGTCAGAAATAGGTCCTTTAAAGTGATTTATCTTATTTCTACTAGTTGTCCTTATGAGGTTCGATCTCTCCTGTTACACATAGCAGAAGTTATAGGAATTTGAGCTAACACCCTTATCTCTCCGTTAGCCTTAATAAATGATCTCATCATTATATTGCATACTCCTTGTTCGTTTACGTTAATTCACCCCCTCCCACCTCGTTTCCTTTGCACGAATATACTTTTCACAGTCCAATTATCTGATCACTTCTTATGACGTAATCATATGAATATTATTGCAGTGTCTAATCATTGACCTACTTCCCATCATATCACATTGATCGATCCAAGCCTTTATTATTCTTACCACAACTAGTGCACTTCTCATCACATTACCAGTTAATGTGATCTAATCCACTGTTATCATCATTGAATCATAAACTGCCTTCATTCGTTTAATAATTTCGTATTATTATTGTATATTAGAGTAAAGTGTGATCAGGATCGTAGGATGGAACTGCATATTGTATACATACTAAATAAACTTTGTCTATGACCACAAAGTACATGTGTGGATTTTCATACCACTTTACTACGAGAGTATTGCATAACTCATCTCACTCTTGATGTTTATGCAAGTGAATTTATGTATAACGTCATTGTACTCAATCAGTATAAAGATAATAAAAACATAGTTTCATGGTAGAGAAATTATGTCTCACAGTGAAATCTGGAGTGTGGGTTTCATTGTATTTCGAAATTGTCAACCGAATGTAACTACATCTCAGTGTGGATATTTGAATCGAGTCGAACTCAGAACAATACACATCAAATATATTATCATATATATGCCCCACACAAGTCAATTGATTTGTGTGCAGGCTATGATACTGCCCGGTTACCCAGACAGAAGCAAGTTGTCTTCTTAGAGGGTCACACTTGGAACCTTAGACCTGAACATTTGAACCACAAGCCAGTGGATCAACGTCAGCAGATGCAATCATATGGTATTTTATGGAGGTTTAACATTATTTGTAATAATGACGATATTCTTAAACGATTAATTTGTAACAAACTGATTATTTGCATTGAGCTTAATTGTATACGTATGATGTGTGTGTGTGTGTGACAATTCTTAATGTTATGCAAACAACTTCTATTATAGAATTGTGGTGTGTGCTACTTATATTGAAATAAGTAGTAGATGATGTTAGTCGTGAACAGAAGTTCAGGCAAAAGAGAGACAAGAGGATCGAGCAGTAAAGAATAGAAATAGGATGCAATTGGTATGAAAATGCAAGAACAATGAAGTCTGAGTCATTAGGAGACAATTGATGGACATTTTGCAAATTACGTATTTACTATTTGATTGTTAGATTTGATTAACAAGTCCTGTAATTTTGTATTAAACACATACGACTTTCAGACACAGCTGTTTGGATTAAGCGCTCTGTGAAACTACTCTTGGAGTGAATACGAGACAATGAAATGAATCAAACTAGAATTACTTTCTACTAATAAGTTAATATAGAAGTTAGATCATGATCAATAAGCCTGTTATTGCAAAGCAAATGCCTGGATAACCAGTAAACGAACGTCTACTTGGAAAGTGTAATGTCTGATTAGGAGAATTGAGTGTTTAAGTCGGTGTGTCTCGATAACCGACATATATTATTTCAATATAAAGAATATAAGCCATTACATTGCGTGAACTGATTGTGAAGGATACAAAATAGTCATATAATTTTATAAATATTTAACTGTTTACCATGTCTAGTCACATCTATATCAAGTAAGCAAATGTAATTAGGTCGTCAAAAATGTACGTTAATAGTCAGAAAATTACTGTCGTGAACGAGAACCGAAATGCGGACAAACCAATGTAGTTGAATACTGAAATAAAGAACATCTTAGTTAAATCTGAGAACTATGGAGTAAATATTTCATTTGCAAAATGTCAATTAGTCACCTCAGACTTCATTGTTCTTTCGTTGCCATAGCAACCATTCTCTGTTCTCGCTCTCATTTCTCCAGCCTTTTTATCTTTCTACTGCAAGGTTCTTCACTATAGATCAATGATACATACTACTTATGTCTATCGACATCAGCAAAACATAGCACACTACTAAGAAACGGTGTCTTTAGTTCTTCCAATGAGTCATATAGATATAACATTTAAGAGAGAACATTATCTAATGACTTCTATAGGAAGATATGACTGTCTGAATTGTTAAAATGTCGATAGAATGATGGTGAACTCAAACACGTTAGTTACATCTCTGACTGAAACTATTCATGGAATTAAATCCGTAGCCATAATTCGTAATCTATTTCTCGGTAATCAACTGAGATGGTGAAGAAGATTTGTAGCTCATGTGGATGATTTTGGTGGAGTTTTGTACTCTGAGCTAGATGGTTTGGTTGTGGAGCTTTCATTGTTCTTCTGAATGACATCATCAGCAAAATCTTCAAGTAGATGTCAGGTAGAAGTCTTCTACTTGTTGATACTCTACGACCAAACCATCCAAATCAGAGAACAAAACTCCACGACAATTAGTAACTAATTTCTAGCATCAACATCAAATCATTGATGTTGTTTAGACAGGGTGTAATGTGTTATGACATAAAATTTACTTGAATACGCCTTTCTCATCATTCGTAAATCCAATAAAAACATATATCTGAATGATGTAATATGCTGATCAATCTTCCTCAAGTAACTTGATATATAAACTTGCAAAACCATTGGATTTACTGACTCAGATACTGTGAATTGTTGTGAAATGTTGATTATCTACATTATTATCCCACTAATTTTAATACGTTCATGTCAGTCAGGATCATCATCAAAACAATCTAATTGCACTGGTATGTTTGAAGATATAAGGATTCTCTTCTGAATATAGTGAATACATGTCCAATTGGAAGTTAAGCATTTCATTATGATAAGATATATATTTGTAATCTGTAACAAGAACCTACTGATGATGTTTACACTTATTATATTCATGACAGAGGAACAGTAAGTCTATCATTTGATATTCTATTTACCAATCAATTAAGGGCTTAAATGTATAGAATATTAACTAACTTACTATTACCTAACTTGTGGAGAAGATTTGTAGCTCAGGTGGATGATTTTGATGGAGTCTTGTTCTCTGATCTAGATGGTTTAGTCGTGGAGCTTTCATCGTTCTTCTGAACGACATCATTGGCACAAAGTTCAAATAGAAGTCTTTTATTCTTCTTTTTGAAGTTTGTGCTGATGATGTCATTCAGAAGAACGATGTAAGCTCCACGACCAAACCATCCAGCTCAGAGAACAAAACTCCACCAAATTACCTAACTTGTAGCAATTAAATTCACAACATACCAATTTAGTCTATCGATCTCACTTCATGAAGTATTTCCTGAGAAGCATCATCGTTGAGCAAAAAGGATCTGATGCAGCATTCTTACAGTTAAAGAATATATGGAAATCAAAACAGTTGTCAAACAACATCATATTTAGAATCTTTAATACGAAGGTTGAGACAGTCCTACTGTACGGAGCTGAGTGGTGGATAACTGCCACAACTATTAACAAGAAGGTACAATTATTTATAAATAGTTTCCTACACAAGATACTCAATATTCGTTAACTGACAACCTACTATGATAGAGAACAAACCAAGTTCTTACTGAGGAGGAAATGACGAAATGACACTGAAAGTGTATAGGACATACATTACGGAAATCACGAAACCAAGCGCTAGCTTGGAATTCCTAAGGGAAACAGAGAAGTGGAAGGTTAAAGAACACATTTAGTTTCAAATTGGAAGCAAATATGTAAAGGATGAATAGCAAATGGAACTAACTGGAAAGGTTGACTCGGGATGTTGTTGGATGGAGAATGCTAGCGGGTAGCCTGTGCTCCTTAACAAGGGGTAACCGGCGTAAGTAAATAACTAAGTAATTAACCAAGTATTACAACTAATAAATTGTTTCAGATTCAAAGATAGCGATTAATGGATATTAATTCTTAACAGTTTGATTTGCTAATAAATAGGCACAATTGTTTTATCATTACACTAGACGATCATCTTTTATGTGAGTAAACGTTTTTACAAATTCATGTTTTATGAAAAAGTTATCCCAATTATTTAATGTAAGATGATCACATAATATGGTGAATAGATTGAAGTTAACATCTTAGATTTTTAATGGTGGTCTAACATTGATCGCTTCATGATCACAATTAAAACTCAAAAATCTCCACAATCCTATATTAATAACTATTTAACACTTTTGACGCTATTCAAAGTATGGTATACTATTGATCATACATTTCAATATGCTTGTTAAAATGATTGAATTGAGGTAAAGTATTTCAAAGAGCTCCAAACACATTGACAAGGAACAGATTGTTACTTTCAATATGTATTTCAGGCGGTTTGTTTCAGCAGTAGGGTAAGTTCATAGTATATGCCAGTTTTGTTCGTTAATTCAAGTGTCCATATAAAGATATCGATTTATAACATTTGAAATATTTTCTGACAATTTTTTTTTCTACGTTATTCCACGATCATACTACAAGGTATTGAATTCAACAGCTTTGATCACACATGTAATCAGTTAACCAATAGACCATTTATAGCCACTATTCAACAATGTTAATGTTTAATTTCAATGAACCTACCTCTCATCAATTGCTTACATTCGAACTAACTGTGGTCATAAAGCCGTACTGTTTGATAAGTCACATACTAGAACAAAACAGTCATCCAGTTCATCTAGACTTTCAATAGTTCTCACATTTAATTCAATAGTTGAGATGATGAGTCAGTTCAAGCTAGAACACTATGAGAAACCTGGAAGCACTGAATGGCCGTTTCACCTTATTTAGGAACACCACAGCAACGCGCACCCATGACCTTTCCGCCCAGGTTTTTCATGGTGGTTTAGCTTCAATTGACTTATGATCTCAACTACTGAAATTACTACAATCCCCACAAAACACCTTCTGATACATTTAATTCAGTTCGTGATCTAAGCTATCAAAACTCATATATTCAGTTGAATCCATCTTAGTTATATCAACCCAAAAGTAGCATGTTTATTCAATTCAATTATATTTTAAGATAGAATTGATATCCATCAAATTAACAATAAAAAGATGAATATTTGACTTTGTAGACACACATCCAGTCATTCCAGGTTTTCAATGACGGTCTTACATTGATGGATTTATGATTTCAATCAAGAAAAATTTAACAATCTCCACAACTTTATACTGATGAGAACATTGAAACTAGTTGTTATTTACTAATCGAGTAAATACAGTTTTTCTCGTTCCATATATCACAGTAGGTACTATGTTCAAATTTGTTTCATTTGGTTAGTGTCTATTTTTAATAAGATTGTATTCTACAGGATGTGATTGCCGATCTTATGCACAAACCTCCTTCTTTATCCGGGCTAGGAGTTGTAAGTGGTTAAGATACATATTGAGGAAATTATCAGACTGCATCATGAGTCAAGTACTAACTTGGAATCCTGAAGGAAAACAGAATAGAGGGAGATCAGAGAACACTCCGACAAGAATCATAAGCAAATATGAAAATCATAGATAGCAACTAGAAACAACTGGAAAAGATGGCTCAGGATAGAGCTGGATGTAGAATGCAGTTGGAAGGCCAATGCTCCTCCACGGGGGCAACAGGCATAAGTAAAATTAAGTTCAAAGTTCCAGGATCCTAAGCAAACAAATAGTGTATGAAGCTATTGTTGACCACCGGCCACAATGGGACTGCATCTCCTAACGTTGCCCCACTGCTTTGTGGATTAGACCCCGAGGTCAAAGGCTTTGGGTGGTGCCCCCTAAGCAAACCACCTGCTCCGGTTTAGGCACTTTAACAGTATCATGGCCCTCACACAAATCTAATGACAAAGTGTGGTGATTCCTATTAACAGTCATTTATGTGCTGTTAGTTTAGAAAGCTGGATAAAAGTGAGAAGAGTTAGGTAAAAACCGCTGTTTCTTGATAATCTTCACTCAGATTGATCGCGTCCCAGACTTAATCAAATGTGAGTTCTGCCGTCATTCAAATGATCTTAAAAAAGTGCGTTTAATAGATACTAGAGTACTAGCCTGAAATTTGAATGTGGAAACTGGGGGAACTAACTGAGTTGTTGAGTTGCTGAGACTAGGACAATTTATGATACCGTACCATAGTATGAAAGATATCTGGATGGAACCGGTGTATACTGGTTCATTATGATGATTTATACACATCCTCATGTAAACTGTAACATCAATCAATGTAACATTACTGAAACTTATTTTCTTCTACTTCTGTTAATTGGATCATTTCAGAACATTTATTAGCTTATTATGGTAGGTAGTCATTAATGTTTTACTTTTAGTTTAAAATGACAAAATTTACAGTAGATATACTGTATCCGCCATACAATGTCAAATAGAGTATCAGATAAATGTCAAATGTTCCAAGTGGAACCATTTTAACAGTATTATTTTATAGTGATTGAGATTATCTTCAGCAAATTCCTGAAACATACAACTTGATTTTAGCTGTTCATTCATATAGACTTGAGTTTTTCATATCTTTCAGTAATCTTGGATAATCATTGCCCCTTTCAGCCAAACAAGTTGATGAAGTCTAGTAGGCCTTTATGAAGCAGAATAGGTCACATCGAAGCACGGCACAACTACCGGGTCCAGAATAGTTGTTTTTGCAATCGGTTGGAATTTGCCCCGTAGGGAGCGACCACGTATGTCCCATACTTTACTTTTGTGAATTTTTTGTCGTTTTTCATTCCAAAAGTAATTGTGCTGTGGATTTTGTAATCAGTTCGTTAGCTGTTAAATGATATTAACTTGAATGTTCAATATCTTTCAGTATTCTTAGATAATCATCACTAATGTATAACTGATTCATTTATCCTTGTTGCAGTTCAAACATAATTTGCTGTGTTTGTTTATTTTTATAAACGTTAATCACAGTTTTCTAGATGGAATATGGTAAGATACGTTCGTCTATATACGTTACAGAATATCTTCATCATATATGAGAATATCAGAAAAAGCTTTTGTGGTAATAGTAATAGTAATTTTAATAGTTTAGATTAGTCAATAGAGATAGGAGACCACAGAAAACCTCGAAGATCTGGATGGCCGTTTCCTACTTTTGCGGGATTCTTCAGCAGTGTGCATCCATGATCCCGGCTCGGGAGATTCGATCCCAAGAACACGTGCGAATGCTTAACCTCTAGACCACTGAGCTGCTCGGCATCCAACGATGTTAATGCCTGTCTTCAACTAATCCACGAAATTGTGCGACACCTCCATCATTGTCTTCAGTGAGTTACTATCTCACAACAGGCCGTTCGGTGATTCCAGATTTTTGATGGTGGTCTAGCTTCAATTGATTTATGATATCAACTATTGAAATTTATGAGAATGATATATTAAATACTTCATTTGTAAATGTTTTATCAATCGTCTTTCACATTCTGTATGATTATTTTAATTCATCCGTTTCTGTTTCCTTTGAATCGATCTTCTTGACCTTCTGTTGTCATGCATTCCACGTCTGACTGGTGCTTACACTAATCATGTCTGTCGTCATAATTGGTATACACCACAAAGTGACTACTTACATATTTAGGAGTATAGTTACACTATATATACATATATACTTCGTTGTAATATTCCAATTTTTCAAACAAGATTTTCAATTATCTACCATGTCTGCAAACATCGGAGGTATCAGTTAGCATCATAGTGTTATGAAGGAGAACATAGGTGAGGACAATTGATGATATTCAGTACAAAATTACAGTTACTTGATAAAATATGAATACCATACTTCATTTGAAAAAATGTTTATGAATTGTCTCAGACTTCATAGTCTCTGCATTTCCATAGCAATTACTTTCCGTTCCCGTTCTTTCCTTCTCGATCTTCTCAACTATCTGCTGCCAAACATTCTATACAGGACTAGTGTTATATACTACTTATGTCGATATAAGGAGTATACACTACAGATGGAACGGTAAACAAGGTAATTAAGCTTTATATATGTATTCGTCAATTATGAACATCAATTGGAGATTTATGTTAAATAAATATAGAGCTTACTTATATACATTATGTCATTTACAATCAACCTTCTAATCTATATTTGTCTTCTATATATATATATATATATATATATATATATATATATATATATATATATATATATATATATATATATATATATATATATTTAGAATAGTCATGTGATAGGTCATAATGCATTTTGAAGTGATCTTAAAGGTTTTTTCGTTGAATAATATTGATCGTTATTCATTTATGCGTTTCTAGGAACACTATAGCCGGGTTCCTTCATCAAGCGACACAAATAAGCGGATAAGGATTCAAGATGAACTATGAAATTCTGTATCGATTTCTTTATTATTCAACTCTATTCCTCTACTGATGTATTCTTGTTCATTTTGTTATACAATAATAAAATATTAGAAGAAAATATATGAGTAAATGGGAAAGAATACTGAGATTAGGACAAGCTAACATATATTACGCTATAATATTACGTTATATGGAATGTTGTTCAGATTCTTTTGGGGAATGATCTAATTTGATGTGTTCTCATAGGCTTTAACTACTCGATCAGAGAGTGTGCCCATTTAATTCATTGATTATACACGTCAAAAAAGTACTTACATGAGGATGAGCATTGGGTTAGTACTTAATTAGAAGTTAAAATGAAAGTCTATCGGAAACCATATTGTAGTAAACAAGAACACAAGTGGAGATAATCAGATATATTTGAACTCATCGTCAAATTTGAGAAGCATACAGTAAATATTTCATTTACAAAATATCCATCCATCATCTCAGAATTCATTGTTTCTTTGCTTCCACAGAAATCATTCTCATGATGTTCATTAATTGAAACTTACCAATAATGCTTAGGAATGCAATTGGCATATGTGCATGCTAAGCGGTTGCCATGATGTTGCCTTAGGTCACTAGTTTTATAAGTAAAAATGGATAGTGACTAGCAATAGAACCCGATTTGTCGAGCGTTTCGTCCTATTTAGAACTCGTCAGATGGGTGTACCTGCATCTCAGAGTTGGTGCTCCCTCTTTGCTTATAATGCTTGTTAATTAAGGAAATACTGAGGCAATACGCACAGGATACACATATGCAAATAAGTGATTGATCAATTGCAGTCCTAAACATCAATGAGACAATTCAAACCACCAATACAAAGTTGAATTAAAACTCCATCGCGTTGCACAAGCAAGTGACTACCAGGACTTAGTAGCTAAGTGAGTAATGTGATGACATTTAAATCAAACGGTACTGCGTTCGAGTCTTGAAGTGAACAACAACTCTAAAATACAGGTGCATCATGCTGACTAGACCTAAAAATAAGATGAAACATGTATCCTAGATTCCACTGATGGCCACCATCTATCTCTACCTTTAATGTTTTGTGATGTAAAGCAATACCGAGTCATTTAGCACAGAATACCCATATATACCCATATATAATGGTTCGAATGATAAAAGAAGCCATGCGTGTCTTGATAAAAAAACACATGACTGATTACTCATAAATTAAGTAGTGTAATTGATTGATCAACTGAAGATAACATTTGACACAATTATTTATTATCATCAAACATGTATATTCTATATAGATATCAAATAAATAAACAATTTGTCATAAATTGGTTGAAGTTGGACATTAACACCGTTCGATACCGGCCGGCTCAGTGGTTTAGAGGTTAAGTGTACGCGTGCGAGATCGATAGGTCCTAGGTTCAAATCTCGCGGTTGGGGATCATGAATGCGCAATGCCGAGGAGTCCTATACTAGGACGAAACAGCTTTCCTGTGTTTACAGGTTTTCCATGGTGATTTGACTTTAATTGATGCATGAATTCAACTACTAAATTTGTTTTAATCATGAATTTACCCTGGCAATCCTTAAATTATTTTATAGCTTACAATAACGCTACAATATCATATTCTTTCTAAACGATATTTGATTATCTACCCCATGACTAGTATAGAAATGTAGATTTCTTAATTGAAAACAACAACTGATAGCATTCTTTGTTTTCTTTAAACTTAGCTGTTCCATCAAGACATATGCTGTCCAAGAACTATCATATAACTTTGTATAGTTCAATGTACATTACAAAGTATCAAAATATTGTAATTAAGGCATTACGTAATACTTCCATTGTGTAATTGGAATGTAGTCGTTTTCATATTAAACAATGGAAATGATTTAAGTCGGACCGTACACTAACTTAATTACTTACGCCTATTACTCCCAATGGAGCATAGGCCACCGATCAGTATTCTCCAACCCACTATGTCCTGGGCCTTCGTTTCTAGTTCCATCCAATTCTTGTTCATTTTTCTCATGTTTATCTTCATTTCTCAGCGTAATGTGTTCTTTGGTCTCCCTCTTTTCCTTTGGCTTTGAGGATTACATGTGCGGACTTGTGACGCAGTTGGGTGCTTTCCTCAATGTATGACCTATCCACTTCCAGCACTTCTTCCCGCTTTCTTCCACCGCTGGAATTAGGTTTGTTCTCTCCAACAGTAAATTGTTGCCAATAGTGTCTGACCAACGGATCCAAATCATTTTGCGTAGACAACTGTTCATAAACACTTGTATCTTCTGGATGATTGCTTTCGTAGTTCTTTAGGTTTCCCCCCATACAGTAGAGATGTTTTGATATTTGTATTGAAAATTCTGAATTCGGTCTTGGTTGATAGACAGTAGATTTTAGTTATAGATGTTCGTCAGTTGTAAATATACTTCTCTTGCTTTACTGATCCACGTTTTCACATCTGCATCAAATTCACCATGTTCATCAACAATGCTTCTCAAATATGTAAAGGTTTTTACATCTTCCAAATCTTCTTCTTTAATTGTGATTGGATTGGTGCATGCTGTGTTGTATCGGAGAATCTTGCTTTTCCGTTTGTTTATATTAAGACCTAGTACTGGTGAGACTGCTGCTATACTGATCGTCTTCTCCTGCATTTGCTATTGCGTTTGCGATAGAAGAGCCAGATCATCTGCAAAGTTTAGACCGTTTAGCTGCATCCTATCTGTCGACTGTATCCTATGCTTCACTTGACCGTACACTCACTTATCCGAAAAAGAAAATCCAAATGTTCTTAGACGAACCCACTGGATATTATTCCTTGAATTGTATACAATGTATTTCAAATGATGTAGTCAAATAAATTTTTGATAGGATAAGGTTCATAGGATGTCCAAATGATAAAAAGTGAATGTTTCATATTAATCAATAAAATGATCTCTCCTTTAGGGAATCTCATTATTTTAAAAAAAAAATACAAATGATATAATGTTATATCTGGTCGTCGCTTATTGCTGTGCCTGAAAAAAACGCTGATTACTTATATTCGGAACGAGGGATCTCGGCAAAGCCTCACGATGTGAAAGTAAGAACATACAAGACTGGTATAAGTGAAGATTTATTAGCCCCCCAAAACACGATGACGACGACGAATCGAATCTAGTCTAAAATACACTGGTTTCTATATTGATTGTACATCCATTCTGATTCATAATTAGGATTAAATCACATACTCAGTTATAACAAATCACTTACTGAGTGAGCATGGTTCATGTCAACTGAATACAAGAATATCGTATGTTATACAGAAGAAAATATCATACTGGGAAAACAAATCAAATAATACACTGAATGATCCTCATGTTGAATCAAAACGGATGTTGAAGCAAAACTCATAATGAGTAATTCAATCGAAAATTGGTTTTACTTTCTATCATATCAGATAATTAATTTGTGGATGACTTTTGAACGAACCTTCTGTGAAATTGAGACAGATTAGCTAATCAGAAAACAGTTAGTATAAAGTAAACATTTATGATATAAAACTGAATAATGAAAGTGAATACATTTCTTTTACATGGTTCAGAAACTTGTCAAGGTTAGAAAGCGTTTCAGAGGTTCTGAAATCATAATGCATACGGTAGAACAACTCATCTATATGGCTCCATAACAGTCAGTCTCTGAAGCCTTGATAAGTTTGCGAAAACTCTTTCAACCTCAACCACATAGCTCCAATATTGTTAGTGTGTTTTTGTGTTTGTTTGTCCTCAAAATGCCACTTGTAAATAACGATACGTTGCATATCAACAACTACATGTAGCCATCTGTGCGCTCTCCGATAATGCAGTACACGGTAGCAGTAAGTGATGGTGGGTTTTTTTATATCCAGTTTGTAACAACTGTCATAATTTGCATTAGTTTCAATCTTGAACGAGGGAAGATTTCTTCCTCTTGCATATATTGGATTGAAAGAAAACATCATCACAGTAGTCTGCACAAGGTTCACAAGTCGTTTGATTACCACCATCACAAAAAAGGAACTTTTTAATAGTCCCATTTGTTGTAGCCGCTCAAATATAACGTTTTCGCTAATAACACTGTGAACCGATCATACATGAGTATCAGGTACTGAAATTGGTGCCGTGAACTTGAAATTCCTCAAACATTTTTGATTGGCTCGTCCATAAATTACAGTCTCGCCGATATTCAGAATATCATGAATTTAACAGACTCAATATTGCTTGCTACTTTTTATGTTGATAATGAGGAAAGTAAGGATGAACTTATTTAATAAGTGAACATTATTTTGATTGTTATGAATGTGACATTGCGAAGATTGTTGGGTTTTGATTGAGATCATAAATGGATCAATGTTAGACCATCACTGAAAGCCTGGAGGTATTCGACGACCATTTGGTTCTAGTATGGGACTCTTGAGCAGTGCACACCCACGATCCCATTCCAAAGGGGTTCAAACCAACAGATTGCGGTCTCGCGCTAATGCTTAACCTCTATACCACTTAGCTGAAATCCAAAGCTGGTAACGTTTCACATCAACCAATTGCTTGACCATCCTCGATTATCTTCGTGAATAGCTGCCTCAAATCAGACACGGTTGGATTAAACTGGTTACGGCTTCTCACTAGAACTCTGAGAACTACAAGTGAAGGCATGATAATTATCACTATAAGGCTGTGGATATTGTTGAGTTTTAACTGAGACCATGGTTTTAGGTTTTTAATGGTGGTCTACCATTAATCGGTTCATGATCGCAATTCATGTGTTAAAATGAGATGAAATGGTATCAGAAACATATTTTTTTGTTATGAAACATTTCTTTTACAACATCAAACGTTACTCTTAACTTCAGATATCGTAATGTGTAATGTTTGAAAGTAATCTACTGTGGGAGAGAACAAACTAGATTCCAGAAGAGTAAGAGATCAGGAAGAAGCGCTAAAATTGTATAGGACATACATTGAGGAACATACCCAAC